CCTTTCTTCCATTGCGACCTGCACAACAGTGGCTACGTGTTTTTGCGCGTCGACAGCGTCCGCCGTTTGCTCCAGCAACCTTACACTGGTCCCCACCTCGTCGTGGCACGTGGCGAAAAAACATTCACGCCGCGAGTTTATGGCCGCGACACGGTCGTGTCCGTTGACCGCCTCAAGCCAGCATTTGTTAAAAGCGATACGATCGCTCAGCCGACTGATCTTCCCAGCGTGCAAGCCACCTCGAGCTCAACATATCACCCGCGACCCGCATCAAACACTCCAGGACAGTTCACTGGGACGACTCCGTCTCCAAAGGGGGGCTACGTGACCATAGCCACCGAGAAAAAAAAAAAAAAAAGAGAAGATCGCGTGCAAATAAAAAAAAGGAGATCAGTTCAATTTTGGAATGCGTCAAACGTAGTCGCTTTTGTTTGTCTTTCTCTACACGTGTATAATCGCTTGCTTTCCAGGTGGGAACTGCATGCCTTCAGCGCTCGGCGGAACGCGTCAAACAGCTTCGCTCAGTGCTCACAACCGTCTTCGAGTTCAAGAGTTTCGTGCGGTGAAGAAGAGGAATCCAGGCATCTCGTTTGTGGAAGTCATCATAAGCCGAGAGGCCGGATGTATAGATGGCCACTCGCGCAACTGAGAGTTTTAAGCTTATGTATGCATAGTTAGCGAATTTGCAGAGGGGGGCCGTTTTCTTTCTGTGAATTGTAAGCTAATTAATATATTCCAGCTCAAAGTACCTTTTCGGGTCACTAATACGCATCAATTATGGAAAGAAAAATTAATATTATAAAAAACATGCCATAACTAACGCTCAAAATGTTTGGTGCTGTGCGGCAAAGCCGTTAAGACGAAGACGTCGGCTCGCTCCGAGTGAAGGTTTGTCGTAGCTTTTCCTGTTTGGGAGGTCATATGCTACTCAACCTTTTGCTATAACAGGTTAGTTCGAGCCACTGCAAAGTGCAAAGAGGGGTTTAAAGAAAATAAAAGATGGAGTTTTTTTTTAAAATATCGACGCCCAATCTTGCCACATTTCGATAAATTAGCCGCATTTCCGCGTTAATAAAAAAACATAATTAAGAGTGAGCATATTTTATTTATGTATTCGTAAACAATATTTAAAGACGCGCATTTTGATGTGTTTTGTGAAGTATTCTAAAAAAAAGTTTTATTTGCGAAAAAATTGTGAATACATCTCTAAAACGCATTTTTATGCCATGTTTGATTTTTTTGTTTGTTTGCAAAGAAATATTTTCTTGATATTTTTAATTTTTTGTGTATGTGTTTTATGTGTTTTGTAAAACACATTAAAACGATTATGGTGACGTGAAAACTTCGATGAGTAAATGACGACTGTGCAAGGTTGAATCATAAAATCTTCTTAATTTCCATGCCTCGAGCTTTTCTATTTTATATCCCAGCGAAACAAATTGTTACGGCGTTCATATATAGCGGAATGTTCCTCTCAAGAACATGGCTTTCTTATATATTTTTAACAAAACTATCTAAATTGTGACCCGGACCGTCATTGCGTTAATGACGTGGAATCACCCTCCAGGCAGGGAGGGCACACGAGCAAGAGATAGGTCGACAACGTTAAGCCTTTCGCCTTACACTGCTGCCGCTACTCTCGTGTGTGGTTCTTTTGATACTTTTCTTCTCGTCATTTTTCTGTCGTCACCGCAGTCTCGGGTAGTTCTTTTTTGTTTGCTTGATTCTACGGCATCTACGTGGATGGCGGAAAAAGTCCTGCTACGGTTTGAGTGACATGTGTGGAAACTAGTCAACGATGACTCTGGTCGATTATCGAAAGTCCTCTCCCTTGTTGTTGTCTTGTTGTCCAGCGCAGGTTGCAAGTAGGTGTTACAGTTGTACTCCTAGAAGCGCTCTGGTTGAACAATTCTTTGATCACACTTTGGCCTCAGTCGCAGCGAACAGTTGTCGTAAAAATGTAATGAACTCTGTTATCCGTCTATTGTTTTCTAAATATTCTAAAATTGCTGATGATAACGAACACTGATTGAAACACGTTAGGCTTTGTCGTCCTATTTGCATGTTGAACTGTTGTAGAACCTTGTGATTATAGGCATATCTGTCGGTGCCTGATGGCTATTCATTGATGAACAAAAGCATTCGTAATAAAATGTGCATGGGCATGACTTGTTTATTTTTTTCAGTCTCAGAACTATAACTTTTAGCAACAATAAATAAATCACGTCTGTCAAAAGGGCAAGGTCAAAAAGAATGCTCGAAGTGCCTGCTTTCAGCTGGACTGCATACCATAAAACGCTCTTTCATTGATCCCCATCTCTTTGAGTTTTTTCCGGACTGATGCTTACACAACCATCGAAGATTTTTTGCTTCAAGCCCATAATGTCCCGAGGTCCGGTCACGTAGACTTAAGCTTTTACGTGACCATAAGAAGAAAAGTAAAGTGGTGTCAAATCGGACGATCTGGGAGGCCAAAGCAATGTTCCTGTTCGTTCGGTCCACCAATTTGGAAAGTTGTTGTCAAGCTAGTTCCAGACGAAACATGCTGTGGTACTCCATCGTGCAGGAACCACGCCTGTGGCAGATCTTGCAGTCGAACGGCGCAGCCAAAGTCATAGACGGCTCCTTTAATATTCAATGTGTACTTATCGCCGATGAGATCGCCTTCTAGAAAGTAAGGTCCAACAATCTTGTTTCTGAAAATGCCGCACCAGACGTTGACAGACCAGCAAAACTGACGGTTGTGATTTCTTAACCAATGAGGGTTCCGGTGTAACCAGTAATGCGCATTGTGAACGTAGCGGCAGACTTTTTCGTCTTCAGCTGAAAACGTTCTTGTCCTCATTCGTTTTAGGTAGAACCCAGTTGCAGAAGTCCAGCCGTTTTTTAAAGTCCGCTTCAGTGAGGTCCTGGTGTAGACACACATGGTACGAATGCAGGCTATGGCTTCCGTTCATTCCAGATGGAAGTGACGCTGCTGCCGCAGTCACGCGCAATCTCTCTGGCGCTGGCATGCTGGTGGACCTTCACGTGGGCAAGGATGTCAATTTTATAATTTTCACTTACGGCAACGGCCTTTGTGCACCTTCTGTGATGTACAGAATCTGTTTCCGAATCCTTGTAAAGACGCTTGCAAATTGGGCATATCTGGGACCCGACGATCCGGGAAACAAGCAGCGTACAGCGACTTAGCCATTCGGGAATTACCGTTCATATCTGCGCATGCCGGGAACGTGTTCACCTTTTTTGTGACTAAATACCTGAAGCCCACCGGGGAAGCCATTACTGAACCGTTCAGTGTTGCACTGAATCCAGAATACCTTGGCTTGCAATAGTACCCGTGCGTCGAAGATTAAAGAGCAAAAGCTAGCTCGAAGCCAAGGAGCCGCCCTCTTTCGGAGCAGCAGAGTTTATAACTATGGCTTATGATCGTGACAGGTCAGAGTCCCATCTGAAATTGTATGCTTTTCATTCGAATAATCCAGTTATTGATACGATGATATTGATGCGTCTGTAGGATCACTTTTACGGCCTAATAAATCTGTCACTTTACGATTACTCGCTATCGTCTCAGATAGAAACTGTTTAACGTTCCAAAATTAGTAAAAAAAGAAAAATAGAACCCTTTTTAGTAATATTGTGCAGCAAATCAAAGAAGCTTGTCGCGGCTGCTAGGGTGGTTTATCGCTTTAATTTTCCAGTCATGGAGCACCGACTGAAATCAACTCCGGCGCATTTTGACGTGAAATAATGACTCAAATTTCCTCAATAAAACATGACCCTCCGGCGTCAAACGAGGGCTGATATCCCGGCGTGCATGGAGCATTTGGTTTCTGGATCTAGAAAATTCCACAACAAAATTTAACAATAAATAATTGGAACCGCGTGCTCAATCCAGGTGTTAAAAAAAAACATGGCTGGCCTTTAACATTGATTGCCTCCATCTATTCCATATTAACATGTGCGCTAGAACGTTTAAATAAAAAAAATGTTTAGTACATTTTTATTAATAAGTCATATTTTAGTTGCCTCCTTTTTGCGCATAATGTCAACCTGGCCGTATATCTCGCTTGCACAGACCGCTCTTGTGTATCTTTCACGGCTTTTTTTTTTGTTTTCACAAAGAAGTCTGTTTTACAAAAAAAAAAAAAAAAAAAAAAAGAAAACCACAAAGCTTTGTATACATACAAATCAAAATAACAGGCTGCGAAAAATCTAATACCTATACTCGTTTCCAAATCAAGAACCGTAGTAAAAGACGTCCGGCTCCCCGCGGAGCATTATTAATTTGCCACTTGACGTAGAGAAGTAAGGTACATGTAGGTGCATTTTAGGTTGGATATCTGGTATCTTATCAAGAGGTCCACGCTTCAAACGCCAAAAGCATCGCTTCTGCCTCCGACAACCAAATCTTGTAAGAACTACTTCTCGCGGCGTATAAACATTGCGCAAAACTTCCTTTTTTCTTTGGGTGAAAACGAGTATATACTGTATAGTGGCGTTTTTCAATTAATTGTTTAGTTAAAGTAACGTCCAGTTATTGTTGGCGTGATGTGGGCTATTAATTCTAAGAGAGATGTTTCAAACGTCCCTATAGTTCAGCATTTCCTTCCTCAGTGATAAGCGATAAAAAAAGTGTACGGACCTTTCCTGCACTTATGCCAAAAAGGAGGTGTGCAGAGTCACTGGACTATGGACGCGTTTGTAGCATCTGGTATATAGCAGAACAGCCCTTTACTGAGCATGTCCAGAACACAGCCCAGTAGGCACAGATGGCAGTGCGCAGAAGGAGAGCATAGAAATTGTTAATAAGCCTCCGCAAATATTGCCTTCCTCGCGGTGCCATCTTTGTCTGCTGGGCTGCGGAACGCTTTCTGAGCATGCGCTGCTGCTCTGCTGTGCGGTATGTCAGATGCTGTGGATGTATCCATAGCTCAGTGACTCAGCATTTTTGCTCGGGTGATAAGCGATGGAAAGGGCTGTAGGAGGCTGCGTCTTACCTTGACGAGGAGGAGGAAATTGGCCTTGTCCGAGTAGGCTCCACCTCGGTCGTAGGCCCCGGGGTACTCCCAGTCCAGGTCGAAGCCGTCGAAGCCGTACGTCTGAACCCACTTGAGCGCGCTGTTGATGAACGTATGCCTCCGGCCCGTGGTGCTCACCATCTCCGAGTACTTCTTGCCGCCCTCCGCCCACCCCCCCACAGCCAGCAGTGTCTGGAGCTTGGGGTACCTCTTGCGGAGTGCCGTAAAACGTCTGTAGCCGCCTTGAAAAAAAAAATGGTTGCGACAATTACGTTAAAGCAAGAGCCAGCTGCAAAAACACCCCTTCCCCCCTTCAAAAAAAAAAATAAATAAATAAATAAAAATAAAAAGCAAAAGTTATGTTTTTTTGTTTTTTTTTGTGGCAAAAATAATTAGGCATCGTCGAACGTTCAGTCTGTGCCAAACGGTAGCACTATAGCTTTCGTGACCAGAGGGCAAAAGTTTCAGAGCTTGCCGGTGTCGGATTCAAAATTTCTTCACGAGTTCCGGGACAAATGATAGAAATCCCTGGGGAAGGGGGAACAAGGGAAGCAAGGGACACATACACATTTCCAAACACAGCTTGGTGACTGGTGCCCGCTGGAAAAAATAAAATTCACCAGGTCCTGTTATCGAACCAGCCGAGCCTCTTGATTTCCAATGGAGAGGGTTCGTTTATTCTACCCAGCTCGCCTGTAGCTTTGTATGTTTTGCATTAACATCGAGTTTCGAAAGTTTCGAAAGGAAAAGGGCGCCCACCACACCCAAGAAATACATAAAAATTAACTGCGCCAGATACCGGAAAAAGGCCTCATTGTCGCATTGAATGTTCCAGAAGATCACATTTTCTGAGTAAGGTAGGGGTTAGTTTTAAAACTGTCATCTGGTCGGGACCGTTAGCGTTGCATTTGGCCGGAAAATGAGTTTTTGGCGATGCGTAGTATATTTTTGAGGCGAGAAGAACACCCTAGATATTTTTTTGGGAACAGGCTGTACAATTGCATGTTGTCTATGTATAGCTCGAACGTAATTTACACGCCTCAAGCATCTTAATGAATCCCGAGCGCGTCTCAACATCGCGACATGGCATTTATTGCTGAGATACATCCTAGAAAATATTTTTATGATTAGCAGGGGTATTGCGGACAGTATTAACAACGTTTAGGTATGTTTAAACGATTTGTGGCACGTAGAAGTTATTAAACAGTGAATTAACGCATCGCACCATTGGCGTTGCGCGCCTTGTGGCGTTAACTGTGCTTGACGTAGGCTGCCCAGTCAAACATCACACTAAGTTATTTTTTTTTTGGTTTCTTCATTTTTTTTAGTTATTATCTTACCATCTTTTTTACTTAAATGTTTTGCAAAAGTTTTGTCCTGATTTCTGTGGTACTGCAATATATTGTCTGAATACATGCTTCAAAATTTCGATGAAAATGTAGGCACGGCAACAGGCCGCCAATAAGCCATATTAAAAAAAAACAGAAACAAAAAACCTAGAAATGCTTTTTCTGCCTCTTTAAAATAACTACAAAAATCTGATCGCAAACAAATTTCTACACCAGTTTTTTTACATCGATGACGTCGCACAACTTTTAGTAAAGCTACGCGACGTCATACATGACTTTAGTTGTAAATTTACTCGTTTATTGAGTAGTTTATTGAATGTACGGCAAAAAGTTTTGTTTTTTACACACGCTCATATGCTGAGTGCTTCAGTGGTCCAAAGTATAAATTTGGTGCTATTGTGCTTTCCTTGATAATTTATGTTTTTTTTTGTCAGGAGACGTAACACTTTTCGATTTGATCCGTAAAATGTAAAATTGCTTCGTTTTTTTATTCACGACAAGTCACAGCGCTGTCAAAGACTACAAGAAACAAAAACGCACGTACTAAAAGCGCAATCACACAGTGTATTATTCACTATGCTTGATTGGTTTAGCCAATGAAACCTCATTTACCGAATTAAGTTAAATTGGCCGCCCATGAGAAGTTGGCACAACCCGCCGATGAAAGCACACGCACAAAAAAATGGCAATTTTTCATATGGTGTCGGCTTATGACGATGTTTGCGATCTTACTTAAACTGCAGCGAGGTATAGTATTTCATGCATGATTTATGCGAAATCAATTTAAGACCATCTGAAAATTATTTTTGGTTGTAATTTTTCGTATCATAACTTAATAATTAGTGAAGAAGTAAGTTTTGATGACATAAAGCATGCCACTGAATCTTGCTGCTATTCTACACTTAAAGACGTGGTCTAATTTTAGATAAAAAAAGACACTAAATTAAAATATTTTGGATCCATATTGAATTTGTACGTTCTGCGTAAACAAACCTGTGAGAGGGTGGAAAAAAAGGGAATCTTTGCTTTGATCTAAAATAAATATTTGGGCTGAGTTTTAGGTTGCCAAAATACGTTGGTCTTGACTAACATTGATTATCCTTGAGTTCGCCACTTGAAATTACTATAACTACAAACAAACAATAGTTCGCAGACGGTGCGAGGCAAGATAATGATTCAGAGGCTTCGGCTGTTCTTTTTTTTTTTTTTTTTGCTACTTCTCCTTTTGCAATGCCTTGTTTGCGTAACTTTGTTTCGTAACGCACGTGCCTAGCTGAAAGAGGAAGATTGCTTTAAGGCAACATATGGTAATTACCCTGCGCTGCGTGCTCATGTCCAATTTCGAAAAAGCAACCTTCCAATCACAAATGTACAGTAGACGTTTATATATAGCGTACTTAGCAGTTTTTGGCACTTCAATCCTAAATGCTTTGTATATCAACCGTAATACAACTTATCCTTCAACCCGTGCAGTAATCAATGGCGAGAACAAGGCCATGAAGTTTCGCGAAAAGTGGTAGGATGCGACTTGAGTATTCGAAGCTCAAACAATAAAAATAAAAAGTAATATATATATATGTATATATATAAAAGCTGAGAAGTAACTTTTTCCGGCCGTTTGCAGGACGTAAAATTTGGACGATTCTGAAGATCAGTGTATATTTTAGTTCAATATGAATTTAATTGACTTCAAACCACTCGAACACACGCACGTGTGCACGCACAGATGCACCGGATGCGCAGGCTTATAAACACGCACACACAAACAAAACATTTTTTTTTGGCGACGGGAAATTCAGACTACGCAAATCCACAGCATGATCATCAGTTGTTTGCCTAACACGCACTTGAAAATATTTTCAAGATTTGTCGCTGCTGTGACCCATCTAATGTTAGCAAAGAACAGGCTCATTTGTTTTTTACACGCACTCCGTCATCTCTTAAATGTTTGTAAGATAAAATATTCGTTTTAAAGAGGAAGAAGCCCAAAGCTGCATTTAGTGTTCTGTCGTAACTTGACCTATTAATCACTCCTCCTATGTTTACGACTTCCCATAGAGGTTGTGCGTCCTGGCAGTCAACTTTCCTTACAACTTCACAATGTTTCAAATATTGCCTGATATTGACACGGCGCCACTGCTGTGTGTCAATGAGCCTTAGTACTTTCTACAGTAATGCATATAAGAGCAAGTACTCCATTCAGGTTTTGTGGCATTATTTCGAAAGTGCATCGTCGGATAATCCACCAAAGATGCTGCCGATGAGGAGCGCAAAATGACTAGGTCACTCCTCGACGCGTTATTGCGTAAAGTTTCAAAACCAAGTGACGAAAACATGAGGTCTGACAAACCAATGCATTTCCCAGGTTCTTTAAATCGGTAGAGCCTTCAACATTGTTTGCCTTTGAAACTGAAATTTGGACATAACCTATTATTCAATTAATTAAAATGTTAATTAGTATACGTATCGTGACGGCCATTTCCTTATCTAATGTCCGCCGAGCATGATAACCATGAAGTGAAGACAAAATCTACCAATCAAATGCCAATTAAAAAAAAGATGTTGGAAAAAAAAAGAAACAAAAGAACACAAAAAAAAGACAAACAACAACGTGATATTGCGAGTTTCACTCAAGGATACGGAATTCAAAATAAATACCGAGTTTAATAAAGATGAGTTTCGATTACGTAAATAATACAACTATAAATTCTTAAAAGCATCCCTTTTATTATTTGTATATATTTGCTCAGAAGTGGCTAAACAATGCAGCCAGTTACGTATCTGGTAGGTATGAGTATGGGATAGCATTATAGTGCAATAAAATGACCTTTGAAGTTCGCTTTTGTATTCTCGTAATGTATGTCTCGGGTTAAAACTAATACGTAATACGTACTCGAGCAAAACATAAATATATGAAAAGAAGTTCCATACGCGATTTTTAATTTTACAATGATCATACCACGCTTCCAAAATAAGAAAACTTTACTGTAGAGCTGAGATTTTCAAACATTTGCTTTCTCCACGTAGATTTGAAGAAAAAATTGGCTATCCTGCAATATTGTTTCAATGCTTTCAAGTTTTATTTTTTATCGTTTGTTAAACGAGTGTGATTAATACGTGTTTTGTTCCCTGCGTTGTGGGATATGATGCTGATTGAGTTTCCATAAAATATTGCACAAACTTTTGCATATCTGTGTGTGTGTGCAACATTCGGTAAGAACTAACAATAAAGTAATTTTATCCCTATCCCGTGACAATGCGGCTTTTCAGCGGTGCAGGATATTATCTAGACCGAAGCCAGATATTTGGGCAATGCAAAATACAATATCGCAGACCTTTGTTGAAGTCGTATTCGGGGTCTATGCTGAAGAGTTCCCAGGTCTGGTTGCTCAGCCCCACAAACGCGTAGATGAGGTGGGTGCACTTGTCCAGGGGAATGTCCTCGATGTCGTAGTTCATAGGCTCCGGGCGGTACAGGGCCCAAGCGCTGTAGTAGCACACAATGCGTCCCCTCTGGGTTCCATCACCCGGACTTTCGAGCCGGCTGGCAGACCTGTCGTCCAGCGCCCCCGACGAATCCAGTAACTGCGTTGTGGTCTCGACAGGAGCTGAAATAATCATTTTTACCGAAGTTTTATTTACTGCTTACTCTCATGCCTCGTTAATATGAACACCACCCTTTCCCCCAAGAAGTAGTCCATAGTGCGAGGGAAATATTACGTAGCATGCTATGCCATATTGTCGGAAGTGAACATATTAACGGGCCCCGTAAGAACAAGACACTGTATCGCGTCGAGCAGAGATCAAAGTTTGACCAACCATTCTTGCTGATTTCTGAAGAATGCGTTGCTTATAATGTGGTCAATCGTTGTCTGCTCGGCGAACTTTCGTGAAATTTCTCTTCACCCCCCCCCCCCTCCCCCCCCGATTTTGGTGTAAACGTTTTAAAGCGTTAAATCGAATATGGTCGAGCGCTTTTGATAACTGGGTATAATTTATCCGTCAGTTCCTCTTTAGTTTTATGAACAGTTCAGGAGACACAGAAGGAATGGTTCGTAAAGAAACAGCTACAACAACAAACGGTAACTGGGTGTCCCCACAATTCTTAAACAAAGCCTTCGCCTGCGCAAATGGTTTCTGCAAACAAAGTTTTTGAAATTAAAGCAAAAAAAAAAAAAATGGCTAAAATTAAAGGTAAACAAGATTAAATATATATAAATAAGCAGTAAACCGAGAAGGACGCACTAAAAAGGGAACAAGCACTTGTTGAAAAAAAATTGTTATTGTTGTTAAGTTCAGGCAACGATCCAGACTAAGTACATCTATATATGCCCAAAAATGCTATTGTCTAGTCGCTCGGGGAGGCAATCTGCTTTATCAAACTAGCACCACGTGTTAATAATATGTGTATTTTAGGTTATAGTGAAATGAAGGCATACTGTTTCCTAAAACAAAAAAAAAACAAAAAAAAAATGTATACAGAAAATGCCAGAGGTATATCTGTAAGAAAGGAAGTTAACATTTTCCACGATATCCATATTTGTAAAATATGTGTCTACACAACTATAGAATATGAAAACAAAACGACTTGCTATTGGCAAGCTCTTCTTGATGTCGTGATCTGATTATATGACCGGGACTGGTAAATTTTGCAACTTTTATGCTTGCACGCTTCCACTTTTCGTTAGTTGTCACTAAAAAAACAACAAAAAAACAACAACAACACAGGAACGCTCAAATAAATGTAGAAACTTGGTTAATACTGAGTGTTAGTGTTGCGCGTACAATCAAACGTATGCACTGTGCGTTTGCGTTAGCGTTGCGTGTTCCACCTTGAGCGTACGCAAAGCCCCAAACTGCGTCCTGGATTGGCGAATGGTGACGAAGCGCGTATGCAGCTTGTAGCACACAACACTAACGCAAACGCACGGCACTTACGCTTGCTCACATAGACCGACACGCTGTTTACAAACAAGCCCGCCTTTTCCCACACCAGGCGTGGGCAGTGCGCGTGCGCAGTAACCGAATTTGGTAGGAGTGAAGCGTCTGCGCATGCGCTGTGCCGCCGACAGCGCCACCGCAGCTGCAGGGCGTTAGGGCCGCGTGTTGGTCTATACGTAATACTAAAACTCGTTAATAACTTAAATAGTGCCTAATAATTGGTATGAGAAAATAAGCCGTGCAGACCCAGTATCCCACACGTAGATCTGTGTGAAACGTAAACCTATTTTGCAGAAGAAACAGAAGTTGAACTGCCCGCGAGCGACCGGATGTAAGAATAATTACAGACCAATCCTCTTAATCGGGAAGTGGATTGCTACTCATCGAGTTTGTTTATTTTCAATAGCTAGCATCTAAAGATATAAAATAAGAATAGGTTAGATTGGTGCATGGTGCGGTAAAAACAGCTAAAAAAACGCGGGCAGCAAAAAATAAACACAAACGACAGGACAAAGTTGTACTCGCAGCTATATAATTGGATAGAAGAAACAGGATAACGCAAACCATACATAGTATATTAATAGATTTCAACTGCAATCTGCAATCTATTAAGATACTGTGTATGTTTTATTTATCCTGTTTCTTTTATGAAATTCTACAGTTACGAACATAGCTTGCTCCTGTCGTTTGTGTTAATTTTTCGCTGTCCGCGTTTTTTCAGCTGTTTATTTCCCTTCATGTACAACGACACTCAACTGTCCCAAATGACCACCTTAACACTTTAGATAGTATGAAAGCACCACCGAAAAGTTGCGATGTCGACATTCAATTATGAAACTCAATAAATGGCGGAGGGAGATGAACACGAACTTCACTGGCATTTGGGTTGATTCCGACATTGCCAGAACGCGCTTCTGACCGGCTGCACGCTCCGTAGCCAGTATGCAGTGAACTTCAGTACATTTGTTTTACGAAATGTTATGAGCACCACGCTGAAATATTTGCCATCATATTTTGCGTAAACGGGTACCTTTCTTACTTTCTCAAATCATACTTCGTAAGTTGTCGACACTAAGTATAACGAAGTGGCAATATCTAACTTGTTTGGCCCACTTACAGTTCCATCCATATTATAATGTTTTATTTGTTAAAATTGCTTAAGCGCAAATCGGAAAATAAACGGTCTGCGAAAATGCCGATATATCGATGGAGACTTACTTTCGGTTTCAGCGGAGCAGCACAGAGAAAGGGCGCAGCACAGAAGGAGCTGCCGGAGTCTAGTTTTCATGCTGTCTGTGGCAGGTTCGATTATCCTCCCTGTAAAACGCGCAAGCAGATACACACAAGACCCAAAACCGAATTATTGGCAATTTCACTGACTGATGTGCGGACGGTACATCGCAGACTAGATGCCACTTAGCAGATTACTCAGACATGTCTATTGCAAAGTTGTAACTCTTTCGCATGATTTGTGTTTCGCGTTCGAGAGATTGCTCAAAAGTCAACACCACCACAGTGACCCGGTCACGGACACAATAAACTTTCGCGTGTTAAATTTTTATACTAGTGAGCGTGTCGGCTCTTGCTCGCGTTTCTTTAATCAACAAGGAGACTCGGGTCGACAACAATTTCCAACGCTAATAGAAGGATTGCGTAGAGTTACGCACTTTGTCATTCGGTCTTCGTCAAAGTTAGTCATTAACTGAAGATCGGAAAGGGACTTCGTCACTCGCGCCAGGCGGTTCCACGCAATTTCCGTGACATTGCGACACCCCGCGGGTGGAACTGCAAACAAATGCAGGCGAGGGGAGTCGAACTTGCGGCACCATTCCACGGGAAGACATTGACCTTCCTCGTTCTCGTTCGCGCCGACAGCGCATCCGCTTGTCGAGCGGCACTCGCGTACCTGGTCAGTTGTCGGGGCATCCTTGCGTCGCACGTGGACTAGGTAGCTGAGCGTATACACGCAACGTCGTTGTTCGCATCAATGATAGCTTTTGAATGCGCCTCGCGGCGTACGGCCACATCCTGCTTTAGCGTCATACAAGCAAGGCTGACAGCATAAGACGTCTAACGTCACACAAGACGTCATCCTGCAAGAAATATCTGAGTGTATAGTTAATCGTGTTTTAATCGGCGCAGCGAGCTTTCTCTTTTTTTTTCTTGAATATTTTTGTGTTAAATTCTTACATACCATAGCTTTATGAATTTTATTGACCTTATTGTAAAACTGGTTTTGTTGATACACTGTCGTACTTTCTCTGACATGCAACCGTTTTCGTCTTTGAAAGACGATTGTGTCTTCAGATTTTCTGAATCCTGCACCAGTTAAAATGCCACTGATTTATTTCGGAGCAAGAATAAAATGCACGCCAGCTGGGCAAAGTAAGCTATACGAAAACGAAGTGAAAACATCAGAAGGATAACTGTATGGGAGATTTCAATCATCGTTCGGTCTCTTCACGGTTCATTCAACAGCGTTTGGACATCGCTTTGCTTTTTGTTATTTGACAAAATCTATGCCTGTTTAAAATTTCTAATTTCTAAAAAAAAAAAAAATAATTTTGTGTTTTCTTTTAGAATTTATTGGAATCCTTTGTACAAACGGTGGTCCTGTATAACTAGAATATCATAGAAAAGCGACTGTGAGAAATTTATAAAATAAATATTTTCAATGAGTTTCCTAATTGAGGACCAACATTACGCCACTACGAAGACAATGAAAATATTCCCAGACGATTGAATTAAACACTAATCCCTTGCTGTCATTGAAGAAATGTTTAACTCTGCAAAAGTTTCCAAAAGACTCGGCTGATGTCACTTTTGCAAAGCTCTTGATAATTTGGCCATCGTTGTCAGATTTATGCCGTACACACAATGCACAAATTTACATGAACGCAGAGTTGCACATTTTTGTATTTTTATAACATCTACCCGAAAGAGTAGAGGTGTAATATTAATATTTATATTTTTCGTATGCTCTGTAGAGTCTTTACGAAAAAAAAAAACAAAAAAAAAACATTGGATGCGTAACCTCGAAAGAAACTGTTTCTTACCCGATATCAACACAATTATATATAAGCGAATTTGCGCTGATGACTTACGTAACCGTTACCAGGAGCCACCCAGCAAATAATGGGGAGGATTCTTTCAACACAACCCAAGCTTAAACACCCTCTCACATCATCTTCAAAATAACGGAGAGTTGGCTTTTCGTTAAAATAAATGTTCAGCCTTGGCACTCTTCTTCCGCTGCAAGCAGCACAGGCTAAAGAGAATGAGCCTCCGCGTCATCAGTCCACAACCCCGGGTCCGGACGACGGACCCTCCTGGGGGTGAGGCTCGGGAGGTGCTATTGCGCACGCCGAGGGGGACTCACCTTCAGACGCAGCCGAGCTGAGGACCTGCGGGCTTCTGGCGGACCCTTTTCGGGGGGCGTCCACGCTATGTCAGGGACCCCCGCCCCGAAAAGATCGGCCCATCCGGTCTTCCGCTCCAGGAGCCGCCAAGGTCATCGACCGCCAGGGAAAGGTAAAGGACGTTCCTCCTCCATCGAAGCATCCGGACGAAGATCGCCGGAGCAGACGACGCCACCGCTGCCTGCCAGAGAGACGCCGGTCCCACCGGGCCGCGGCGCGTCGGGGGTTCGCGGCCGCCCCGAAGCGAAACCGGCTTTAAGG